TCAATTATCTTAAATCTTTTAAAATTAAATCTTATTAAATAAACTCCTTACCTACCTTCACTTTCACAAAACTTACCTATACACATTTTATAATACTAACTGTTTTAACTGCAATCTTGCTGATTCTTTAACCCATTGGTGTACATGCTCAAACCCATCACTTATCTTCAATATTATTCAAACTAGCATATCTGAATATATTAATTATACAGACCTTAATTTATCTATAAACCAACAAAAAGAACTTATTTTATAAAATCAGTAACCACTATGCCTTTTATTCTATATCTCTTCAAACCAATCAACACTACCTTAATATTACACTCAAAGGACTTATTCCTAAATCTCTAATTAAGATTGTACAAAACTTTAATATCTTATACAAACTAGTCTAACAAACAATTATTGCTATTTTGTTTAAAGTTAATGAACTTTCTTATGAACAAATATGAAAACTATATTGTATAAACTTTGCTAACTAAAAACAACAAAAACTTAAACTATCTTATGTCAGACCCTCATTTTAATTAAATTAAAATAACAAAAGAAACTCTAATTACAAAAATTATACTTATTCTTGTCTATGTGGACTATCTGATCGACTACACTCTAACTCTAATACCTGTCCACCTACTGGCTATACTATCTGTAAAATTAACATCTGAATCATTCTTTGGATCAAATACAATATTTCTTATAATTATATTTTAAACTTACAAATCTAGGTGAGTCTTGACCATTTTAGTAGATTTAGATCACAAATAAATATGTCTAAGCTTTTATTCTTAAATGTAGTTTTCCTTTTATTTGTATTTAGAGTAACTATATAGTTTGCAATTTAATAGTTTAGCTCTGACTGCAAGTGTTGGTTTTAGTCATAGTATTTATATAGAAAATTACTTTTTGTACATAATAGCTTCATGTAACTACTAATTTTTAAATTACTAATAAAGATACGAGCAAGGCCTTACCTTAATACTAAAAAAAAAAAAAATTTTATTTTTTATAGAAAAAAGATTGTTTTGATTTACATATTATACCAATTATATGTTTATATATAAAGTAGCACTATAGTACTATAGCACTATAATAATATTTCCAAATAATATTATATAATTATTATATAAAAATTATTTAATTTTGTAATAAACTATCTGCATTCTAAAATCTCAATTAATGACATTTTAATAGATATTTAAATTCAAGATGTTTTTGCTATTATCTTATATTAAAAAATAATATTCACTAAATTAAATGTACAAAAAATTATAAGCTATTTTTAACAATAATTAATAAAAGAATTGCTAATACAAACACTAAATTTTAAACTAACTATACTACAATTAACAATAATTCTCTGTATGTAACCTCTTATGTCATTTTTTTAAAAGGTAATTTGCAACTGTTAATAAAAATTATAGGTAGAAAATTATAAAGAATAATTTTCTAAGAAATTTCATATACAAAGAAACTTAATAAGCATTATTTAACATAATGAACTTGGCTATTCAGGAAATTACTACTAATAACAAATCAAAAAAGTATTTAATTAATAATTAAAGCAATTTTTTCTTTATATTAATGTTAATATTTTTACATCATTATAGAAATAAAAAAAATCTTAGTGATTAAAATTTATCTTAAAATTTTTAATTTTGTAATTAAAAATTTTAAGATTTAAGTCTTTAAAAGAGAATTCTTGAATGTCTTCATTGGTGGACAAAGAAATAAATATCAATCAGAATTAGATTAGCAATAATTCATTATTATTATTATTGCTATTATTTTTATTTTCTTTGAATTTATCATTAATGTTATTATTCTTTTTATTTATTTTATTATTAACTTTATTAGTTTCATTATTTCATTGACTTTATTGGTTTCATTATTTTCATTAACTTTATCAGTTTCATTATTTTCATTGACTTTATCAATTTTATTATTTTTATTGACTTTATTAGGTTCATTATTAATTATTTCAAAACCTTCATTATTTTGATTATAGACTTTATCATTAGTGAACTATTTTTTTTTAAAAAAAAATATATAAATAGATTTCATAATAAATATTATAAACATATATGTGTATGCACATATATATAATCAGACCTCTTTATAGTCACACTTTATATAATCATACCTCTATACAGGCACCTAATTTTGGTAAATGAATTGTTACAAAAAATAAATAAAAAATCTCTATATAAGTACAACCTCTTTATAAGCACATTTCTAAAAAATGTTACTATCATCCTGACTATGTGATTATAGAGAGAGTTGACTGTATATCTTCTTTGTTTTAGATAACACATTTAATTTAGCAATTGTAATCTGTTGTTGCTTATTTTGAGACTAGTATATATTATATGCCTCAATAATATAATGCTTAGTAATACTTATTTCAGCTTAACATTGCCACCTGCATCATTTAATTTTTAAGCTATATATTTTCAAATAGAATAATTGACAATTCTTCTAGTAGTACAATCAATGCCTATAAGAGAACAAATCTCTTTTATAAGCTTAGATAAGTTGTCACAACCCAAATATTTATTTAAATACCAATCACAATTTAAAAAAAAAATTTAATAAAAACAAAATAAAATTTAAAATAACATATCTGAATAATTAATAAGTAGATGAAGAAAAATTCTTCATTAACATTAATTAATCATTTTGATATATAAAGATTAATGTTAGTGATTAGACCAATTTCACTTGGGTTATTGGTAGTATGATTTGTGTTTGATCTTTGACTTTATCATTAATACATTGATAATAAAAGTATATACCTTGATATGCTTTATTATGAACTATAAACAAATTATATCTTCCATCATTACATGACATTAAATCTTTTAATTTTAGTTTATATTAAGTGCTACTACATCTTGCTATAATACAACTGATTCAAAGAAATATTCAATATAAATGACCTTTTGAATTATCATATAAAAGTTGTGAATGATTAAAGATAAGTTTCATTTCTTTTTTTGTCAAAGAATCTGCACCTATATATATAGATGATTCTTCTAATTCCTTCATTTGACCATTAAGAATTTCTCAGAATTTTTTAAATTCTAAATTAATATTAATATTAATAGGTTCATGCTTAAATGTTGATTGAAAATACTGATTGATTGTACAAATATCCACATATAAAGAATCAGAACAATACTTAGCATTATTCCAAGTTCTTACTTAAACAACAAATTCAAAAAGATTTGCAACTGTTATCTTGTCTTGTAATGTATCAAGGTTTATATCAGAGTGAGTATCATTTACATATTCTTTAAATAGTTTCACCCACACGTTTGTACTTTTTTGTGTATTTGCAGGAACTGAATTTTTTATATATGATTGAATTTTCTCATCTGAAGGTTTTTTAAACTTTCTTCGCTTAGACAAATTTCCATTGTAGCATAATAATCCATAGCTTTTATAAATGATGATTCCATTATTACAGTAAAGAAAAGATTTTTTTTTTTATGTTTTAATTAAAACTTCTTTTATATTGTATTGATAGTTTATTTGAGGTTATAACGCTTTTAATTAATAACGTAAGAGGGCAGGGGATTAATTAATAATACACTTGATTTTCTTGCTTATTAACATTCTATAGGCATTATACTAAAAATAATAATTCTATAATAATAACTTAATATAAAATCTATAATTATTATAAACTCTGCAAAAATATATTATTATACAATTTTGTGAATTGACCCCTAAAATTTTTATATGCAATAAATAAACTTCTAAATTATATTACAGATCTATAAATTTCTAACCTATATTACAGATCAATCATAATAAGCTTTATAATTATGTTACTAAATACAACTCATCGACATATAACCTAATCCTAGTATCAAGTACGTAAATACGTACTCACACATATATATCACATGATTATTTTTGGGCCAATAATGGTCCAGTCCAATTTAGTTTAATGGACTGGATTGGATAAAATTAGACTGGTCCAGTTCAATATTCCAGTCCAGTTCAATAATAACCCTGCTCTCTACAGTTTATAACACCATCTTTCTAAATTTTCCGTTCGTTCAACTTTTTCTAACAATATTTTATGTTTTTCATTCATTATGTTTGTGTGAAATAGCTCTCATTCTCAGATTTCTGACTCAACTCTCTATCTCAGATTCGGAATTTAATATTCATTTTACACTAATTTCTGCATCCATAATACTATGTCTAACATTGTTCATCTAATAAATTTATGTCATAAAAATTATATTAAAAAATATACTAAAAAATATATATATATTTGTTTTTCATTATATACTAGCTGACTAGCAAATTTATGTATCCGCACCTAAGAGTAAAATGAGCAAATTATTCAATGGATGCTATTTTTGATTATTAGGAATAGATCTCCCATTACAGTCCTTCGACTTTGTCTCAAGACCAGAGACTCAATGATCCTGTCCCTGATTCATGATCATCAACACAATCGCATGAATAAAAATTTACCAGATTCGTTTTAATCCGGGTATTCACTTAATATTTTAGTACTATATATTGATATCAAAGTCAATAATGTTCCTGACTACCTAATTTATTAATAATATTTAGCATTTTAAAAGTTAATCAATTAATTGTTTATTTTTAAAAACTTTTGCATTAATATGTAAGTAAAAGATATAAAAATTCAATTTAGAGGTGTATTAGAATGTATCTGCGACTTTTTATTTTGAATGAAATTATTATCCAATTTTTTATGTAAATTAAATTTTTTATGATTAATTAGATGAGGAATATGCAAGACGTGCAATTATGATCATGATCACCGATTGGTTGCTATATTTTGGGTACGTTCTTTCATTATGGAATCCTTGATGTTTTTATCGATTATAGAGTTTTTCGAAATTATAAACACCCGTTTCACCATGACAAGATCGGATAATACAATATATTCTGTCCTTATACTCAAAATCACACCCCATTTTTTCTTCACTAAGCCACACACTTTGCGACTTTCATCACTTGATTCTAGTATTCGTGAGTTCATTACTCGTTCCTGGTATCCTAACTATATGTCTCATTTGCCTTTTTTTGTAAAGAATATAACAAACAACTAATATTCCTAAACACATAATCCCACCAATAGCAAATCCAATAATAATAATCTTACTTGAGTTTGAAGTTTGGGTACTTGGATTATCGGTACCTGGATTTTGTGTACTCGGATTTTGGGTACTTGGATTTTGAGTACTTGAATTTTGAATTTGGTTAACAATTGGAGGCGGAGTGTATGAGTCAACCCATTTATATTGATTATTTGAAATGTTGAGAATTCTTATTGTAGGATTTATCAAATGACGAGTATTATTGAAAATGTATTCTCCTAAGATATATTCAAAAATGAAATATGGTAAATCTATAATCATTTTTGATAATGATATTGAAATAAGTTTACTCACCAAATGAAAAAAATATGACGTCAAAATAGAGTGTAGCACCATGACCACTTGAAATTATGGATGGTGCATTTCCAGTTGGTGAGATAACTGTCCACACATAGCTTGAGAGATTCAGAACTGCTAAACCGGAATATCCAGTTTGATCACTACCTCCATATATTATTATACTTTTGTTGCTAGGTAAGAGAGTTGCTGAATGATGAATAATTGAAGGAATTATACCATTCTTTGTTGCAGTCTGTAAATAAAGTAAATAAAATGTATTTTTGTTAAAATTTAGTATTTTTATTTCAACAAGGACATATAAAGATGAATTGATCCATAAACGCACAATATTTGTCCATTGACTGGTTTTCGTGTCATATACATCAAGCTTTAAGTATTATACAAATAAGGAATTTTTATTAGTAAGTCGTTACAGTATTTCTTGATTCATAAAATAAATACTGATTGACAAATTTAATTCTAGTTAATCAAAATTTATTTTTCATAATAATTTATATTATAGTATTACCTACCTTCCCTACATCTGGGCTAGTGGCACCACCGATCATAATTATTCGCCCATCAGGCACAAAAGTTGCGGTATGAAGGCAACGACCATTAGGTTGGGTTAGTATAGGACTTGAAGTCCAAGCAGACAATGCGATATTATATATATACATAGTCCCATCATTTTGAGAAATACTAAGACTTGAAAAGTTCATTACTGTGCCTATCTCTTTAACACCGCCCCAAACATATATTTTTTCATTTACATGATCAATTGCAGAAGCATGCCATTTTCTTGAAGATGGAGTTGAAAATGTGTCTGGAGTATATGAAATTTCAGGATCCGTTGAAAGTGATTGAATTTGGAAAAATTCAACAAGAGGTGTTTTTGAATCAGCTCCAATAATATAATCACCACCAAAAACATAAATTTTATTCGCATGGGCAACTGTAGAAGCAGCAGTCCTAGTATCCAAACTCTTTATGAAATGATATGGTGGAGAAGAGCCAAAAAATGGTTGCGTTAGGTCAATATAAAAAAAATCATTAAATCTGGTGACTACATCATCAAATCCACCATAATAATAAATCTTGTCAGATACAAGTTCAGACATAAATTCTGTTCTCCCAGATGGATTATATGATGCACTTTTAGTGCATAAAGGAATTAAGGTTAGATAAATGAGTATTGGAAACCATGATGAATACATTTGGAATTAGATGTTGGATATTAAAAATTATTGGTTTGATAAATGTTTAATAAAATTAGTTAGTGCTTAAAAAACAATCGACCGCAATTTGTACTATGTTAATTGCGGTTTTAAAACTAACTTATTTTGAAAATAAGAGGGAGCCTAAGGATTCTTATTTGTGTTTCTAACTTTCAAGTCAATAAAATGAAGTTCCTATTTATGTTACTAACTTAATAAGTCAAAAAACAAAATTCTTATGTATGTCTCTAACTTTCAAAGTCAGAAAACGAAATTCTATAAGCTTCTCTGTTTTGATGATACTGTTGCTATCATAAAATAGAATTACAATCGATACTGTCTAATTGCATGCTATCCGTTAGAGAATTTCTTATGCATATAGACAGTATATACAGTAAATTTAAGTTAATAAAGACCATTTTATATACAGTACATTTAAGTTATAAGGACTATTTTATATACAGTATATTTAAGTTATGAGGACCATTTTATATACAGTATATTTAAGTAATTAGGTAATATTTAAAATAATGTAACCCCTTAAAATGGTTTAGCTTTTATAGGAAATTTGGTGTTGTACAAACCTTACGATAATATCATTTTACAAGAATTTGGTGTTTGTTTTAGATAGCGATAGTCTTTTTGGAATTTTTTTTATTTCTACGTACAAATTTCAAACAACCACGTATTTACATTTTCTGAACCTATTTTCAAAATAAGATAATTTTGGACCTCCGATTGTTATCTCGTACGTATTGTATATCCTTATTCTTTTGAATTGTAAATGTAAGTCGTATAACAGGTAATATTCTTTGTTATTAAAAAAAGAAAAATAAATCAGTTATTGAATGTTTCACATTTATTTGTCATGTAAAACGATCATAATGTGATCTGCATGTACGGTACAGAAAATCAATATCCTTATATAGAGATTGTGTAAACTATAATTTTGATATGTAGAAAATCTTGATACGTACTTAAGCCTCCTTGCATGAAAATAATGCACAAAGAACAAAAATATACACTCTTATAAAATTAGTTTCTTCTTTCTCACATATTTAACTTTTACGATAGTACTTGCATAATACGGTTTTATGTACGTATGTATGTACTGTACGAATGTATGTACTGTACGAATGTTATATGTTGTGTTTACACTGAATTCATATGAGCAATGAATTATAAATTTAATATAAAATATTTCATTTGCAAACCACGATAGATTTTATAGAATATTTTGACATTTCAAATAACTGTTCGATCTGTCTTGTTTTATTAACCTCCAGACCACGATCAAAGAATTTAAGCATAACCGACATATCATTTTATGATAGATTAGTGGAGCAAAAAAAAAAAAATTCTGCAGATCGACCAAAATTTAGGGTTGGCATTAAGCAATAATACCTACCAACTATACTATAGCAAAATTATATCTGTGCAGCTCTACTTAGTACGTGGGTTTCATGTAATAGACAGAAGTTTGTCTGATTGGCTAATAAATTCAATTTAATTTCACATTATTTATTTAGAGATATTTTACATAATCATTGCACTTAAGAGGTGTGCACTTAGAGGGTGTGACTATATATATATATAATCATCAATTACATTATTAAATAAAAAAAATCAATATTTACATCTAATACTTTACCAAAAATCATAATATATCTATTTTGATTAATATTCGTTATTTAAATAAACGATGTATTAATTATTACATATATGACACTTTAGATCAAATAAATTCAAACTAAAAATTGCAAGTTGATGACGAAGTCAACAAAAACATGGAACATTGCTAGTTAATAATCACTGTGAAATCGGTTACTGTACAAAATGGAATTGAAGTTGTACATATATATATATATTTATAATAAACTAAAATGGATATACTAAATAAGAGAAATAATAAAAATGAAATCATACGACGCGAAACGATTTATCCATTACAATAGTTTATTTTGATCTAATTAAACCTTCTTTTGTCTCTGATTTATAGCTTTGTAAATTATTATAGTTCTGAGAATTGCGAATTTGTCAGTAGATAACATTGATCTATACACAATTTTTCACATTAATGAACAAGCTTCAAAGGTTACATCGCACGTATATAGGCTATAAATATTTCTATTTCTTTGCTAACAAATAATAAATATTCAGGATAAATTTTTTAGCAAATCACAACAACTTTAACATTATATAAAACATACTGGCGGTATATATCGATATTGATACAAATAATGTTAATAAACGTTAATATCAATAAACTAACATATTATAAAGAGTAAAAAACGAACGCCTGTAGATCTCCCACAAAAAATTTACTCCCTAACGTGGCCCTAAGGATTCATTGCACCTGATCTTTCGATCTAATTGGATAAAAACCACGGGAAATTTTTTGTGGAAGAGCTACCACACTTTAAAAAATGTATATGGGATAAATGTGTGTAAGTGTGCAAACCTAATGATAAATATAGATAATGCATGTGTTTCCTTCAATCAAAACCAATTTTTTCTTTAAAATGAGCTATGAAAGTTCTTTTCAGCCTTTTCTCCTTGGAAACAATTATAATAGTGGAATTGGAGTTGAAAAGATGAACATAAGGAATTCGAATATTATCAGGAATCTGCAGAGATGGGACATTTAATGCGATAAATGACTTGGATATTGTTATATAAATGAAATAGGAGATAAAAAAGATAAACAGAAGACATTCGAATATTTTCAGTAGTCTGTGGAGATGGGTAATGCTGCTGGAATATACAATGTTGGATATTGTTATCAAAATGGGATAGGAGTTGGAAAAGATAAACAGAAGGAATTCAAATATTATCAGAATTCTGTGGGGATTGGGTATATTAATGCGATAAGTCAAGTTGGAATTTGTTATAAAAATAGAACGGGTGTTGAAAAAGATGAATTGAAGGCATTCAAATATCACCAGAAATTTGCTAAGATGAGTTACAAGAAACATACGACGTGCTAATGATTGGTATAAGAAGTAAATGAAATATTTTATTATAAACTATTTTTCAATTCTTCTTTATTAACTTTAAATTCTAATAGAGAAAGAAGTATGAAGAGTATGTAGGCATTACTTTTTTGTTTATACATTTTTCAGCCAAGTTAGGGCCATTTTCGCTAAAGTTTATCAGATGTATTTAGGAATAATGATAATGCATATGAAGAAAGTACATATTATTATTCTAATATAATTTTAAAAGATTCAAAACAGAGAAATTATACCATTTAATTTTCTACCACCAACATTGCAGATTTTAGAATTGAAGATCTTGTTGATACTGCTTTAAATGTTGAATTAAAAATCAAATAATTGTTGTATTTAAGTATACATTATTTAGCAAAAATTTGCAAATAACAAAAATAAAACTATATTATAATGTATTTGCATTAAAATGAAATAACTTATTATTAATAAAAATTTTAAAGTTTTATTATATTAAAGAACTATTTCAAAAATGTTTTAAAATAAATAGTTTGGATACTTTTATATTAAAAACTTATTATAGTAGTAATTAGTATTATCAAATATTATAATATATATTATTTAAGTTAAATAATATAACAAAGTTCAAAAATTATAACATATATCAAAAATTATAAAAAACATTAATTGTAATTAATTTTTTAAATTTATAGATGTGATAAATTTTACTTTTTTTTTTTTAAGGTGAGATTTTGCCTTTATCTTTATTATAATTTGTATTAAGAATCTACAAAGGGTTTCTTTAACCAAAGGTTGAGTTTACAAATTGTTTACAAAAATAAGTCTCAGACTATAGTTATACTAAGACTATTTAGTTTAATCTAAGTTATCTGCAAACTAAATCTACTAGAGTGGTTAAAGCTTACTTAGATTTTGTTAATTAAAATATTGTTAATTTGATAATTAATTATATTATTAATTGGAATGTTATATTTAATCCATTTAGGTATTCAAATAAATGTTTTCTTTTTTGTCATTCTTATAGATAGACAAATATTGTATGCATCTTCTATATGTTGTTGGTTTGCCAGACTACAAATATAGTTGTAAACATATAGTAATTTAGGATAATATATGCATTTAGTGCTGTTTGGGTTATTATGTATATTTGTTTGTGTATATATAGGTCAAGTAAATATATTATGTTGGTGTTTTCAATTGATTAGTTTTGTACAATATGGTTTCCATATTTGATTGTATATATTATCTAATAATTTTATTAAAAATTTAATAATAATATTAGTTATGATTTGATTAAAATCTGTATATTTTCAGATTGTTTAAATAAGTAGATAAAAAACATATTTTTGTAAAGTTGTATAGACATTTGTGTTATTTGTGATTTAATTATTAGAAGTTAGGTATTAATAATTGAATAGTTTGTTATATAATTCTTGTAGTTTGGTGTTTGCAATTTCTAGTTTACCAGAATTAAAGAACTGTTGTATAGTGTTGTTAATTGTAAAGCTTAAGTTTGGTATATTAAAACAAGTTAACCAATGCTATTGTTTTTTATATATATTACTGAAAATATTGTTATTATTAGTAAATGTTGCTAAATATGTTGAATAAAAATGTGATTATGTTAATAGTATATTGAGTATTATTTTAATTTTAAAAGCTTTGTTTTAGTATAATTTAAAAATTGTATTTAGTGATAATCTTTTATTGTTGTTATTGAGGTAAGCCTATATTGCATTTTAGTTAATTTGTATAGCTATTGATATAGTGTTTTCTATATGATGTTGTGATAATTATATTGCTATATTTCAAGCATTACAAATATTTTTGATAGATCTTATTGTTGATTATTCAAATGTAAGATTGTTATATTGTGAATAGTATAATAAGTTATATATATTGTTATATATAAATTATTTTAGTTTTTTGATAATTTATCTGCTATATTATTGTTGTATGCAGCTACTTTTTGAAAGTTGTCTTTAATTTGGTAAGTTTTAATTAGATTTAGTAAAGTATGCCATATTGGCTAATAATTGTAAGATATTGTTTGCTTAGTGTTAGTAGTAATTTAAGAAGTTTGTTAATTTAGATATTATAGATTAGGAGTTTATAAAGATTATAACCTGATTAGATTTAAGGCAAATACTAATTGCAAATAGAATAACAATAAGTTCAGCTTTGTATAAGAAAAGCCAAAGCTTAATTTCTGCTAAGTAGCTTTGCATAGTTGTATTATTTTAAACTTGGGCCCAACTAATTTTAATTTATATTGTTCAAATGTAAAATGTGTTAATGATCCATTAGTATAAAAGGTTAGTTGTGAGTAGTTGATATTATGTTGTGCAATTTATTGCAATATTTGTATAGAATAATTGTCATTAAATATTTTAAGTATCAGGTTATTGTAAATTGAAACTGTAAAAGTTGTAAATATTGTATTAAAGTGTTTTAATGCAATTAAGTATAATAAGTTTAATAAATTGAAATGTAGATTGAGTCTTTTAGATAAGTTTGTATAAACTGTTCTTTTTAAAAATTTAGTTGCAAAACTAGTTGTAATTTCAAATGTATATTTGTTTTATATATGATTAGAGTTCAAAAAGTATCCTGTATATTGTTTGTAAATATAGTCTTGGTTAGGATATAATGCTATTTATAAAATATCAAAATGGATTATCCAATATGTAATAAAAATAAAGTTATCTATTTGATTATGTCTTTTGGCTTTTCTGATAATTATATCAATTTGGCTGTATGTAATTAACTAGAGTTTTAGTTTAATTTTGTAGTATCTAGTTGTAAAAAATAATATATTTATATTTAATAACTGTAAATAATGAAAATTGATTTCTTTTGTTTGTTGAAAAGCAAGTAGTTTGTTTTTTAAGGTTAGGAACTATAATAATTTATAACCTTTGGGTATTTGTTGTATTTGCAGAAAAATATGCTACCAATCTAATAGTATTGAGTTGTTACTTAAAGTTAGTTGTTCTATATATATAATTTAATTTGTATAGAGTTGTTTTTTAAATTGAGAATATAATTTGTATAAATGTAATATTTTTTTAACAAATGTATATAGATATTAAAGTGTAAATAATTTGATGTAGTTAGAATATATTTAAATAGTTAGTTAATGATCATTAAATAGTTGTATAATTTTAAAAGTAGTAAGTATGTTCATTTGATCAATCTATTATTAAGTTTTTATGATGTAAAATGTTAATTGTTGATTAGAAAATATTTTTTAATTGTTATAGTCTAATGTGAGTACTTGTGTCTATAAGATTACGATTATTAATATAAAGTAAAAAGTTTAAAATATGATGCTAAGTTTGTATATCTTATATATTTTTGATAATATATATATTATGATTTAATAGTTTACTATATAATGTAGTTACAAGTAGTTTGGTTTATGTTTAGCAATAGTGATGTATTGTAATAAAATAGAGTTACATGTTGTATAAAATAAAACTATATTATATATGTAATAGATATTTAATGAATTGCTGTAAATATCTGTTTTATTCACTAGATCCTAATGTCCAGTGATTATTTCACTGATATTTTTATCTTTTTATTCTTTTTTTATACAAAACGATGCCAAACTAGAAAAAAAAGAAAAAAATTCAAAACACACAAATTCCTGTTTTTACTAGTGCATGCAATTATGTTTTAGAAAATACTTCTGAAGACAGTATTATTACAAGTGTGCCAAGATCTGAAATCGAACAAAAACTGGATTTTTACAGGAAAAAAGCTGCAGTACCAAATACAGTAAAGGCTATTCAAACTTGGACAAAGAAGTTTAATGAATTTCGGCATCATTATAATTATATTACACCAATTGAAACTATTGAAGATCCTCATTTAATTGAGTAACAAATATGTGAATTTATTGTGCAAATAACAAAAAAAGATGAAGGTGAATACAAAGCTAAAACTATTAAACAGACTATTAATAGAATAAATAGATATATTAGCAAAACTAGTGCAATTCATAGTCTTAATTTACATGACAAGTATCAATTTCCAGATTTACATAATATTTTAAATGGTAAAATAAAAGATTTACAGAAAAGAGAATTTGGTGAAAAGGAAGGATCTATGGCTTTAACAGCGCAGCAAGTTAAAGAGATTCTTAGTAATGAGTTTTTAGATTCTAAAACACTACAAGGCTTATTGTATAGAATTTTTTTCATAATGCAATAATTTTTGCATGTCGAGATGATAAACACTATTTACTTCAAAGTAATCAATTTCAAATTCAACCTAATAGAAGTATTTTATTTTACTGATATCATAGTAAAAATAATCAACAAGGAATTCAAGGTGGAAATGCACACTGTATTCAGTTACCACCTGATTCATCAGATATTCCTGGACCTGTTAGCGATGTTACCAAATATATTTCCAAACATCCACTAGATGTTTCTGATAATTTTTATTTGCAACCAAACCCAAATTGGCATGATACTAATATTTGGTATCTTAAAGCTCATTGTGGTTTGAATCGAGTTGGAAATTTTATGAGAAATATAGGGCAAAAAGTTAAAATAAAACTTCCGGATAGTATCTTAACAAACCATTCAGGAAGAAAAACTGCAGCCCAAATACTTCAGGATGTTGATATACCAGAGGATGCAATTATGAATATTACAGGACACAAAAGTTCACAAGGATTACATGCATATAAAACTGTTAATGAAAGTCAAAAAGTCATTACAATGAAAACTTTAATCAATACTATAGAACTGGCATCAAATACAAATATAATAAGCCAAGAATCACCTACAGTACTTACTGAAATTACTGAATCTCAGATTAATTTCAATACAAATACAGTCACTACGCAAGATATTAATATGGTTCAAGGGCAAATTCATAGTGAATTTCAAAATTAACATTCTATTTTTAATAATTGCCATTTTACGAATGTTACATTTTATATGTCACAATAATTTTTTTATAAGAAATTAAACTAGCTATAAGAATTTGTAAAAAGTTAAGGCCAATGATTCTTTACAAGCAAATTGTATTAAAGTATTTTTTCTTTATGCAATTATTAGCAATTAAATAAACATTTGCATTACAATTATAAAAGTAAATTTTAATACATGTAAGTTACTAACCTGATCCAAAAAATGAGGGGTCATGGAATAATTTTTGATACTTTTACAGCTAATCAGCTATATAAAAATATCAGTGCGGAGTATCACAAGTAACCATTAGAAGACATAGGATAAATAATATTCTAAAATAAGAATAATAACTGTGTTAATAATATATACTGCTTGTTTATTTGTTATATATTTGGTTTAAACTATTTATTAAGTTCTAATACTTCTTGTTTAATTAGTTTAATTTAGGTAACATATTTAAAGATAGTTGTAAACTAATATTCTAAAAACTTGAAAGCTGTATGACAAGGTAGTATTTGTATTGTAAAATAAATAGTTAAAGTTAATTTTGTATTAGAAATAAGAATAAATTTGTATAAATTAACTTAAATATAAGTCATATTATAGAATATTGATGCTATTTAAACTATCTCTTGAAGCTGTTCTTTAGTTTTAGCAAACTATGTATTAATCTATATATGTCAGAGTTGATATTAAAGTTGTTGTTAGTTAGTAATTTATTGGGTTAAATTAAGAAATCTATTTGTTTGTTAAGATATAACTTAAATTTTATTTTTAAATTTTATTAAAAAATCAAGTTTAACAAGTTATTTAAACTTTATTAACTCTTTTATAAATACTAATAATTACAATATTTCAATAAACATTTACAATTATCTAATTTTTCTAATCTTTTTAATAAATATAATATTAAATATAGTAATAATCTAATTACTTAATTCAACTTTAACAATATTTAATATATAATTAAATAAAATTTTATTAAAATTAAATTAGTATTTAATAATCATAACTAAAAACAAATTTAAAAAAATTTTAATAAAAAATAAAAAATTGTAATCAATTATTAATATTAAAAAAAAATTAAAAATAATATATATAATTAGTAATTTCTAAATTACTATTAATATATAACAGCCTTACTGAGTATTATTATTAGTAATTAGTAATAATATATATCAAAATTTTGTTAAATTTACTTAAACTTTAAACTTAGTTTTCTTAATAACTAGTAATTTAAATTAGCTTAAATTTTAATATAAATAATATATATATTCAATTATATTAAATTAAAGTTTAACTAATTTAGATTAATAGTTTTTAAAAAATTATATATAAATATTAATTAATTTTTTTTAAAAATTAGTCATAATTTACAAGTAATTTCTTAAAAACTATTAATCTATATTAACTAAAGTTTATTATAATATAATTAAATATATATACTATTTATAATAAGTTGATTTAGAAAAAACTCTTTCTGTAAATCATTTTTACACAAAAATAACTAAAAATTCGTCAGTACTAAAATCATTAATATCTGGTTATTTTACTAAGATAACTAACTTTAGCGTCTTAAATAAACTTGTTCAGCTACTAATTTTACATATATTCTGAAAATTTAAAGAGATAGCTCTCAAACTCGCAGTTTAATACTGCAATAACAACCTTTGGGCTTTTAAACTCTTTCTTTAATTATTTCTTGAAAACTAGCTTTACAACCCAGTCTATAGTCCTAAGAAAAGTTGTAGAGCTCATTTCTCCGATCAAAACAAGGTCTAAACGAACCTAATAGACCTAATATTAATAGAGATAGCTTAAAAAATAGTTTTAAATCTCTTGTAAACTCCTTAAAAAATTCTTTTTTATTTACCCCAACCTTTTTTTCTTTTACACGATTTTTGTGTAACATTAAATCATTACTACAATCGTTTTCATTATAAACTAATTAATATTACTTAAAATAGCATATAAATTCTTATTGGTTTTTCTTCTTTTACTAATTTGACTTTGTATACTATTACAAGGCTTTTTCGGGACGTGTAACTAAATTGTTACATTAAGCCACACTTGGCACATCAGCCACACCTTGTACTACATAGGTTACAAAAATTGTTCTCAAGATTACACAAAGCGCAGCAGCCGCAGTAGGCACAGTATCATATCATACCCCTGTCAAATCAACCCTCACTACTACAAATCCTATATATTAAAAACTTTAACAGTTAATAACAAAAAATTTTACTAAGTAATATTAACTTCCATCCTTAAGTATACCTATAATATTTTTTCTTCTCTATCAAACAGAATGCCTACTTTGACCACCCAAGAGCCAGATCATTTTGATCTTGACTATTTCCATAACAAGTACAATGATCGTTATGGTACAATGATCCGAGAAGTACAACCTACACAACTTAAAATGATGTCTTTTGCATTTAATTCATCTGAATGCAACACTGCTAAATCTCTTCACTACTTTAAAACTCCAACTCAACCTACTATTGTCCGCTGTTATTGCCAAAAATTTCATATTCTTTTTACTTCTAATAATCTTAACATTCCACCTAGACAAGCAACTCCCCCTCCTTCTTCTCAAAAATCCACATATATGGATATCGATATTACATCTAAACAAGTTAGACAACTCAAAGAAACTATTCCTCAATCACCAATTGCAAAAACAATTACCATTCCTCCATTACCATTTCCTTTGAATTATTTTACAACTCAACAAGGAACATCATCTAATTCAACACAAACTCCCCAAATCCAAGCACACTCTCATCATGCACATACTTGTATTATTTGTCAAAATAAAAACATCTTATGTGCTTTCCTAAAAAATAATACACACTCATTTTTCGACAAATTGATTCTTATTATTAAAGGATTTCCAGCACATCCTAAATGTATTCATAAACTCAAACTCAAACCTATTACTCAAACTAAAGCACTCACTCCTATACAAATCC